TGTAAGACCGTCGGCTCAAAATAGGTCAGCAGCGGTCGTTTATGACGTCAGTGGTGGGGAACCAACTTAAGAAAAACAACTGTTACTATTTCATTTTCGTAGTTAATCCCCATTACAAGTCACGCAACTTCGATAACTCCATAACCAAACCAAATTTCTGTAGGAAGAGTACGGGTTTATTATCTTTCTTCCCCACCAGTGACGTAAGAGCGAGCTAAAATGACCGCTGACATCGCTTTTCTGAGCCGCCGTACTACGAGGCCAAAATACCACTTTAAACTATTTTTCCGATGCGAAGTTGGGCCCAAAGACTGAAAAAACCCTTGAACATTGCTATTTGAACTATAAGCTGCAATTTAAAAACGGTTCATTTTTATGGTTCAGTTCCCCTTAAATGAAACGACGCTTAATAAAGATCAGTTTTTTTCCTTAAAAAAGCATTGACGATAAAAGAATACGACAAAAACAAACACAACGAAAACAACAGCAGGTTGAACGCATTGTATTTATATGCTGGAAAATTTAGGAAAACATGCGTTTCAAGAGTTACTTTTATTTTACAAACCACTTAATAATCAATGTAGTAAAATTCAACCGCCAAACAGAATAAGAGCCATGCTTCGAGAAAACAGTTTTCTACCAAAACAAGTGTGCAGGCTAGAGTTCTCTGTTCAGACAGCTAATACCTAATTGTAATTCAACCCAACGTCTAGAAGAATAGCTTTCCTAGGCGACCAACGGTGGTGTGAAGTGGTGGATCAATGGCTGATCAATGTCAGTCTCTGAGCCACTGCGCACCCAACCCTCCCCTAACCCAACAACAACCAACTGATAACAAGTTGAGGTTAATGTTGCTCAGAATTATCATTGTCCTAAATCACGGTAAATGAACACAAAAAGTAGAGGCAAAGGCTCCTATGGAACTGACCTCGTCGCAGACACTAGGAGATTGTGAGCCACTTAGGTCTTCTAGGTTTTGACGCTCCTCGTTTAAAACCTGAGAGAAAAAAAAAAAACAAAGAGTAGCAAAGCACTGACATTCAACAAAATACACGAGTAATAAGAGACTCCATTTTGTTGTTATAATCATCAATGAGACAGAGGAGAATGATTGCACCACGTGACCTGATTTAGGATGTCTCGATCAATTAGGTAGCAGGATTGAAAATCAAGGAGGCTTCGGAAGATGTTTATGATTACTAAGGATGAAGTCAAGGGCCAAGGGAGTGTCATTACCGACACCCTAACTTGGGACACGTAGAAAAATTATCCTGCTCTCTCATTGGCTTTTAAGCCGGAACAGAGTATTTCTTCGAACACAAATGAGCGAAAGAACTCATTTTCCTGTACCACAGTTTCTGTTCTTTGTTTTACTCCGTTGCTTGCAAAAAAAAAAAGAGTAAGCTAGATTGTAAATCGGAAAGACAGGCGCCTGTTTACCCCTAGCCTGCCAACTTTACCGAAATATTGTCATAAATCGGAAATAAGCAAAAGCAAAGTTTAGTACATAACTTACCACCAAACGAAACATTTCTTTTTTAACTAACATAATTAAAAAAATCAATCATTGCCTCGCCTAAAAACTTGATAGGATAACAGGGTTGGTAGCACATAATGAAATTTCTCATCTCTCATCGAAGCAAAGAGCCGTTGCAAATTGTCCAAGAGAGCGCCGTTGTGTAGTTTTTGAGTCTTTTTTACATACCATCCATGCACATCCATCCGCGCTTTCATCCATTCATACATCCATCTTTTCTATGTTGGCCCCTCCTTCTTTTCGCTTACTCAGTCACAGGTGAACCACGGCAGCTGCTATTTCAGCCTCTTAAATTTATATCTGACTATGGGGATGCATTAAAGTGTTTTTAGTTTCAGATGTGAAAACATTCGTTGACAGGAACGAAAAAAAATACCGGTCCCAGCATAGGATTCGTGGTCATTTCCAGCTGCTATTAAAATGAATAACTTGCCTTTCTGTTGGTAAACGGAGCTTGTAAAACTTCATCTACTTGGAGTTCTCTTTCTTCTTTGGAGCTTACGTCTTTTGGCTATTTAACAAAATAAAAATGTTAGAAAGCTTTGATTTGGGAAATGAAGTTGGAAGTGACTAATGAAGCTGGGGGAAAAAAGAGACTTTGGGTTCAGGCATGTTTGAACCTAACTAGCAGTGCACCGTATTATCCAGGCGCGCGTGACTTCCTAGTTTCTCAAGAAAGGCACTCATCGATAGTGACAAAAAAATACACAGATAGGTGAGGGAAAAATAAAAAAGGGAGAGTGAGATTGATATTGGCTTTTTCAGAAGTGCTACTGTACGCATAAATCACATATCATTTACATGCTCTTAATAGTAAAGAAAATTGACTGATTAATAAGTTAATAATTCTTGTTAAAGATGTCATGGCTCCCTGCGGTATTAATGATAAATGAAGCGTTTAATAATTTGTATCACAATTCTGAGTCGCTATCCATTGTTCAGTCGAGCAAGCAATTGAGGATTGAGATGTTCAATTGATAGCTTTACTAATCAATTCATGGCGCCTTTAAGTCGTGAGACAAAAGATCAAATATTCATTCGACAGGACAACTGGAGGACATTAGTTTCTTTTGAAAAAGTATTAGAAAAGTTGTCACAGCTACTTGCCTTTGTAGCTTAAAGAGCTCATAGAGGCAATTATATGAAAGCTGGAGCATCACACCATCCAGAAAGGTAGGTATAATACGCCTGTTCAAAGTCATTAACACATATTAGGCACACATTCAAGGCGATTCACAGATAAAATTTTACTCTCAAAAGAGTTTAAACAACAAGACAATGACCAAGGGACAATCAACACTTCATAGTTAAACTGTTTATTCAAAGAAATAACCTACCTTTTCCTTGTTCAAAGGAGCATTTCCATCAGCTGCCACTGCCCCCTCAGATTGACTGTTGTCTCTTTCATTAACAAAGTTCTCTTGTGTAGAGAACTGTATGCCACAAGGCTCTTCCTGGTTAAATTGGCAAATTTTGGCAAATATTATCATCATTCAATGCAATTTTCCCTTTCCAATTTGGCAAGTAGTAATGCTCAGATCAGTTCT